CTTGTGGACCACTTGAGTCCCCCCCACGAGGAGGCTGATGCGCTCCTTCAGCCAGTCGGTCTGCTGCTGCAGGGCGCGGTAGCTGGGCAGCTGCTCAAACAGCTGAGGAGGAGGAGGAGGAGGAGGAGGAGGAGGAGGAGGAGTCAGAAAAATGTGAGGACAACATGAGCAGGAGATGTGAAGCTCTGTCACCTTGGTCCACTGGTGATGGACATCCATGGTTCCTAACATGACGTGTCCAGAGGCGTTCATCCCTGACTGGTCGGCAAACATGACGTCGTGTCCTGGAGGAGGATAAAGGAGAGTTCAACGCTTTGCACATTTATAATTCTGTTTCTCCAATATCTGGCAATAAAAACACCTGAAGAAGCAGGTGAGAAAAATCAAACGGGTCGCATTGCATATGTTTGGATGGGAAAGCTTAGAGATCTTTAGAGGCAGTGTGGATGGATCAGTGTGCTCGGAGTGCAAACAGCTGTCTGTCCCCAGGTGACTCTGTTGTTGTCACCTTGCAGGTTGATCAGGGCCTCGGGGTTCTGCTGAGAGAGTCGACTCAGACTCTGCAGCTGGCTGCACCTGTGAGCCACGCCCCAACTGCGCTGCCACCTGCAACATACAGCCTCATCATCATCATCATCATCATCATCCCAGACTGTTCCGACAGGTGAGCTGACCTGCTGGTTTAGGCTCAGTAGATGTGAGTTTACCTGATGTCAGAGAGGTGAAATCTGTGACACAGCTCCTCCTTCAGTCTGCTCAGCTCGTCTCTGCGAGGAAGACTGGCGCTGTACTTCTTCGTGGCCTCGGGCTCGTTTTTTCTCAGCCAAAAGCTGGAGAGGTGAACATGACGACATTACAGACCTGCACTTTAATGTGTTATCTTTCAGCGTCACTGGTTTTCAGCACAGCAGCTCACATGCTGCTCAGCTCAGAAATTGGAAATAGATAAAGTTTGATCATACTTGAGTCCTCTTTTAAACACTCTACAGTTAAAGGGTCGTCTTATGCAAACATGTCCCAAGCTCGTGCACTAGAAGGTATGATGGTAAATATTAAGAATATTTCAAAACCAAAAACAGCTGTCGCATCACTCTCTCCAAAGCAACCAGACTCCATTGACAAAACCAGTCATTTTATGTGACAGAAAACAGCAGATACTGATCTACTGCTGCCTCAATCGATCAGTTTCATTGTGTCATTTTTGACCTTTGTCTTTATAATAGTAAGTTCACATCCAACACAATAATCGTTAAACACACAAATAAACTAATCGATGACGGCAGCGGTGCATCAGTAACTGCTATGTTTTGTGACGTTAAATTCATGTTTTTGTCAATGGAGTCTGGTGGCTTTGAACAAAGTGATGCAACATGAAGTCATAAAGTCTAATCAAAACATGACAATCTTTTTTATTCTCATTTTGCAAATCAGTTCACAAATATGTCCCATAGTCTATACTCTATATCGTATATCTAAAAACAGTGAAAACAACAACAACAACAAAGTCTACCTCTGCAAGTCTTTTAAGGTTTGAACCCGGTTGGCAACATAAACATACTGTACATGGTTCCTCACTTTAAGGTCTACATTCTGCAGTGAGTGTCGGCGGTGTGACGGAGGATCTGTCTGACTTTATTTTAAATTTAGACACGACACCAAGATACCCGTTTGGATCCACTAAAACAAAAACAGAAGTTCTTAACACCAAATATTTGGTACCTCATTTTTAATGACCCAAAAAGTATTGATACATTTTGATAACCTTATTAGAAAGACTGTCGTATGGGACAGATGGCCTAGCGGTTAGATCGCGTCCCACGTACAGAGGATGCAGTCCTTCAAGCGGACGGCCCGGGTTCTGACCTGTGGCTCCTTTCCCGAATGTCATTCCCCACTCTCTCTCTCTCCCTGGTTTCCTACTCCATCTGCTGTCCTATCAAGTAAAGGCCAAAAGCCACCCCCCCTCAAAAACTCATTTCTTAAAAAAAAAAAAAAAACACTGTCTTTTGATGCGTATCAGAAATATGAACCGTGTCTCTGTGGTTCTGAGGCATTGACAGATTTTTATGAAAAGGTTTTTAAAAACTGACTCTGACCTGAGTGTGGGCTCCACCCTGCGGGCCTGCTGCAGCTCCTGCTCCGGGTCCCTGAAGCCGGTGAAGCTGTAGTAGCTCTTGTCCCATCTGATGGGTCTGTAGAAAGGCACACCCGCCACAGGTGCCCCTTTAGCCGTCTGTGAACCTCCCTTCAGTCCCTTCATGTGCTCCACGGGCAGACTGCAGGACTTCAACACGTTCACCACCGTGCTCAACACGTCGCTGGTCTGCAGGGTGAAACTGACCGAGCGGAACCCTGAGGACACAGGAGGGACGGTTAGATCCCTAAAGACAGATCTCAGAAATATTACAGACGGATACTTTTAAAGAATGTGTAAACCTGCGGGGAGGAGGTCGGGCTGCTCGTCCTTGCTGTCCCCTGTGTCCCTGACGTAAAATGTGAGCTTCATGGGCTGAAGAGAGCGAGAGCCGGGCTTCTGCAGGTTGTCAAGGTAACCATTTAACCTCTTTAATGAATTCTCATTCACTTCCTGTAAAACAAAACGTTGAAGTGGGTGGTTTATACTTCCTGGAAAACCTCTGCATGTGTCGGTGTAGTCTTGTTGACTCACAGCAGCTTCACTCAGGGATTCTACACATTGAACTTTTTAAAACTCTTGACTTCTCAGGACTAGAGTTCTCTAGTCTCTAGATTTAATCCCTAAAGAACCAACCAGACTTTAGATCTGGGATTATTCTCCGACTGCTACGTGTATTTATATTATCGTCCTTCAGTTTATAAAATATGAACAATTTTAAGGAGCAAAACGACACCTAGTGTTTAAAATTGGTACTGCATGCCAAATTCTAAATATCACAGAGAGCTGTCCCCCCCCCCCCCCCCCCCCCCTTCTAGAGTAGATGCTCACACAGGTTGCAATCGTTAAGAGAACAGAACAGAGGCAACGTGCAGGAACAAAATACGTTTTTTCATTTTCTCTTTTATATTTATTCCGAGTCGTGCTAAATATCGGAGTCCATCATTTCCCCACTGTGCAGGAACACCGTGTCGGTCTAAAGTTTGGAGACGTACCCGTTCTCTGGGATGTTGACCGAAGAAGTCCGGATGGACGGCGAAATAAAACGGTCTGAGAGCGTTGACAGCTTCTGCTCCTGACAGAGATCTGTGAGGGACGAAATGTGCAGCTACATGTTTCCTCTTCAACCTGCAAAGAAAAAGAGAGATATGTGAGGAAGTGAAGCTTACTTTTAGATTTATAGACCAGTCATTTTATTTCTAATCATCCAAGTTAAAGTTTGAACTTCAGTACGATGTTCTTGTTCTCTTTCAACACCTGCTGATGTATAATAAACCTGATGGTGTGTGTGAGCAGTGATACCTGATGGTGTGTGTGTGTGTGAGCAGTGATACCTGAGTGTGTGTGTGTGAGCAGTGATACCTGATGGTGTGTGTGTGTGAGCAGTGATACCTGATGGTGTGTGTGTGTGAGCAGTGATACCTGATGGTGTGTGAGTGTGTGAGCAGTGATACCTGATGGTGTGTGTGTGTGTGAGCAGTGATACCTGATGGTGTGTGTGTGTGAGCAGTGATACCTGATGGTGTGTGTGTGTGTGAGCAGTGATACCTGATGGTGTGTGTGTGTGTGAGCAGTGATACCTGATGGTGTGTGTGTGAGCAGTGATACCTGATGGTGTGTGTGTGAGCAGTGATACCTGATGGTGTGTGAGCAGTGATACCTGATGGTGTGTGTGTGTGTGAGCAGTGATACCTGAGTGTGTGTGTGTGTGAGAGCAGTGATACCTGATGGTGTGTGTGTGAGAGCAGTGATACCTGATGGTGTGTGTGTGTGAGCAGTGATACCTGATGGTGTGTGTGAGCAGTGATACCTGATGGTGTGTGTGTGTGTGAGCAGTGATACCTGATGGTGTGTGTGTGTGTGTGTGTGTGAGCAGTGATACCTGAGTGTGTGTGTGTGTGTGAGCAGTGATACCTGAGTGTGTGTGTGTGTGTGTGAGCAGTGATACCTGAGTGTGTGTGTGTGTGAGCAGTGATACCTGAGTGTGTGTGTGTGTGTGTGTGAGCAGTGATACCTGAGTGTGTGTCTCAGGAGACAGTTCACAGACATTTCTGCTGATTGTCATCAAGAGGAGATTTTAAATCACTTGGTCCATCAGCAGATCTGAGACATAAACAGATTTAAAACAAACTGTTAACATTAATCTGTCTGCAGCACAGAGAAGGTTTCTTCAGGATTCATGAAGCTCACTTCAAACTAACAAAAAAACAACTTAAGAACGTTTATTATTGAAGCATGTCGTAACTTAGCTTCGTTTGCTAACTTGTGTGACTTCTACTCAATGACAACAACAAACATGGCTCCCGTTAGCTCCTGCAGCTAGCATCACAGTGTTAGCATTTCATATGTGACACATCCAGAGCTCGTAACTCGGTAAAGGTGAGTGTGTTGGTTGATGTGAGCACTGACAGCAGACATACAGGTGACTGTCTGACCTCAGCACAACTGTTAGCTTAGCTGTTTACCTTATCTTTCCTCTTCTTCTTCTTCTGTGGTGGTTAATCGCGGCTGTCGATCAGCTCTCAGGCGCTCTATCGCCACCTGCTGGAGGGGCGTGCGACGTTACATTTTTCATGATTTTGAAGCTTAATTTTATAAACTTATACGTTTTTTTTCGTTGCTGAAATTTGGCCTGGTGGTTAATAATACATTCTTCTTTTGTATAAAAAACTAAAAAACATATATTTTTTTGTTTTACAGGGACTTTAAGCCAAGGCAAAGCAAGTGTAAAGTGCTTTACCCAAGACGTGAAGTATAATGACAAAGGAAAGAAACAACCCATTAAAACCCCAAAGAAGATAAGAATTTAAAGATTAAAAACAAACAAACAGATAAAACATATAGGCCTAAGCTTAAATATTATGGCCGTATATATGGAAGCCCATTTCCGCCAGTTAAAAAAATGAAAATGAAAACTTGGCTTTTTCGAAATTATGAGATAATAAAGTCGAAATTATGAGATAATAAAGTCAGAATTATGAGATAATGATAATAAATGACTTTATTATCTCATAATTTCGACTTTCTATCTCATAATTATGACTTTATTATCTCTTTTTATTTTTTTAACTGGCGGAAATGGGCTTCCATACATATAACTTATGGTGTAGTGTAAAAATTACAATGTTAATGTCGTTATTTTAATCACTATTTTTTACTATAACTGCACTGTAACCTTTACTCTTTTTTTAACTGCTGTCATATATTTTAGTTTATTTTTTTAGCTGTTTTCTTTTTGTTCTTTTAGGGTTTAATGGCTTCTTTCTTTCTTTTTCATGATGTCTTGATGTCTGGTGTAAAGCACTTTTAATCACCTTGTTGCTGAATTGTGCTAAATAAACTTTATTAAATTATGTTGATGAATTTCTTTAAAAGGCAGGTGCGTGTAAAACGGTGAGTCCTCCACTTTTATATAAAATAACTTCAGAGTTTTCATGGAAGTGCAGTTTTCTTAGAGTTTGTTCATATATACAGAACATGAAAAACACACTTAGCTTCTCCATGTTGGGTCAGGTCGTCTGGGGACAGGAAGCAGACGACCTGAGATGTCTGTATTGTTCCTATTGTGACAGAAAGTTACAGTCAGTATTCTGCTGTTAAATGTCAAATAAGCAGATAGATGTAGTACAAACGATGAATTTAAATTTGAGTCAGAATCCATACTGATCTTCTGACATCTTCACACCAGACCAATCAATGCAGAGATATGAGCAACACGAGGAGATACAGGAATACACTTCTAAATTGTCCCGATGATAAGTCTGTGAAGTTCATTTATTTATTTATTCTTGAAAAGATATTCAACACATGAACTCACTTTACAAGCAGATTTTTAGCATTTATTTAAACAGTTAGCGATGATAAACATGAACATAAGATAATCCACTCAGAAAATGAGATCAGCGTAAAGTAGCATCAGTTTGAATCCCATCATGAAGATCTTTGACTCTTAGAACCACACGTGAACTTGTAAAGTCTGTTTACATGTGTTGGTCCTTTTTGATATCACCACTTGGACATTGTCAACAATATAAATCCCTATTTCCACCAAGCGGTCTGGTTCAGTTTGGTTTGGTACGGTACACATTTAAAGGCGTTCCACAGTCAAAAGTTGGGAAGGGTTACCAAAATAACTGATAATATCGGCCTACTTTTTGGCACCCTTCTGTTGGGTTGCCAAGCGTACCGATCAGACCCTGAAGGGTGGAGCTAGACACACTGCAATCAGTCGGTTGGTCGAAAGAATCTTCACTTCCTGTGCGACAGCTAATAAAGGACAAACACAAAACACAGCATGTTTAAATATGACGCAGATTTGGAGAGAGTCATTTCAAGGCTGATTTTGGTTTTTGCTTCGGAGTTGAAGACTTTCCTAGGAATCATTAATCGTTGTTAACTGTGTCACATTCTTCTTCTTTGTTGGATTTTTTGGCAGTCTACACTTTGTCACTCCGCTGTGATTTAGTGATGTGTAAGGGAGCGCTTGGAGGTGGAAATGCAAGCAAGATCAGGACTGAACCAAACCGGACCGCTTGGTGGAAACGGGGCTTTTTTAAAAACATTTTATATCCCTAAACATATACAGGTTTAAAGTGTGATTAAATACAAGAACATTACTAAACACTGAGCGATGGACCTAAAGGTAAAGACGTTACTCAGAAAGAACTGAAGCTGCCAATTTGAAGAAAACTGAGACACAAGTCATACACATGAGAAGTTTTATTAAGTCTCTTAGAATATAATAAACACCAGATTGTTAAGATACTATAATAAGCACTGAAGGTTTAACAGGTGAACACTAAAGATGCTCTCTGATGACATCAGTCCAAGGTCTGTGTGGTGTGCATGTAAAAAGTTTAAGAAGGAAATGTTTGTTTACTGCAGGTGGGTTTAGATAACGGGAGCACACATCCTCAAAATTCCCTTTTTTTCAGGGGGGTAGTGACCTCTCAGATTGGAGCGAGGATTTCTGATGAACACATCAGGTTTTCTGTCTAGACATGGTGTGTTTATTTAAGCTGTTTCAGGTCTTTTTTGTCCATCACAGGTGCAGGAAAAACGTCTAAAACACCTGAGAATCCTCGCCTACAGCTCCTTACAAAACCTCCTCTCATAACTGGTAAAATAGCTCTTTAGGAAATGAGACAACCTGCTAGCTGGTGGCTGATATCACTTTATAGATCAGAGTCAGGAGGATGGAGGAGACGAGGAGATGAGGAGGGAGGAAACAGAGGAATGAGAGTTGGCAGACGACGACCCGATACGATGAAGCAAAAGGTAAAACAAGTTCAACTTCTTCACCTGATGACTGAACTGCTTCTACCAGATCCTATCTATAACAATCTTAAACTGTATTCAAGACGAGATCCTTTAACATAAATCAGAGAATGAGCACACACACACACACACACACGTTCTTTCTAAAACCTTTTAACAGGAACTTTCCACCACACAGCAGATCGTGTCTCTTCAAAGCAGGACTTTAAACAAACAGTGACATTTGAAGAGCTATGAGCGTCCCTGTTTGACCACTGAAGGACAGAATCACACAGTTCTTCTCTGCAGTTTGAGGAAAAATCTCTCAGCTACAAACCCGATATGTTCGACATGTACGCTGGTGTTCTGAAAGGCATTGATTACAGACGGCAGGTTTGATAACGCAGGTCCACTCAAGACACCCTAAATCTGTTAAAAAGGCCATTTTCATTAACTACATGTGCACTGAAGGATATAGTGTTAGCATCTTTATAAACACAGTTATTACTAATGACTGTATGTTTACCTGAGAGTCAGTGAAAACATGAATACAAACTTGTTAAGTTGTCAAAATGTTGATACTTGATAGATTTCGGTTTTTAATGATTGATAGTATCAAAAAGTAACAAATCTTTAAAGGTCACATATTAAACTTCTTTTCATCCAGTTTAAATAAGTCTCAGAGCTCCTCAAAACATGTGTGTGAAGTTTCTTGTTGTAAATCCACTCTGATCCTGTATTTGATCATGTCTATAAACCCCTCTATTTCAGCCCTGCTCAGAACAGACTGTTTCTGTGTCTGTACCTTTAAATATGTAAATGAGCTGTGTCTGACCACGCCCCCTCTCTGGAAGGGCTTGGGTGTACTCGGTGCTTTCTTGCTCGATGTCCTATTGTTTACGGTGAGAAGGCAGACTCAGAGGGCAGAACAAACACCTAGCTGTGGGAGTGACACCCACCTGGGGGAAGGGTTACTCCCCTTTGTGATGTCATGAAGGGAAAATCTCCAAACGGCCTGTTTGAGCACACATATTCTGAAAAGTGGAGCAGGAAAAAGATGGAGAGGATGGACTTTTCTCATCATTGGGGGGTTTATAGACGGACTAGAGACACATGTTAGAGTTATAAAAACATTTAGCATAATATGTGACCTTTAAGAAAACTTCAGATTATAATTAATATTTTTAAAACAAGAGCTGCCACGAGTGAAAAAGAGAGAAAGCAGCTGAGGTTCATTAAGATTTACTGCTCATCTCAACTGGATTATGGATGACATTTGACAAGGATTAATGTAAAACCAGTCTAAACCCTATATTTTGGGAACAAATGTAAACACTGTCTGTATTGCACTAATACATTGGCAATGTCTTAGTGCCATTTAGACAGTTGGCAGAAGGTCGCCTGCAGTTTTTGATCATTAAAAACATGAATATACCCAAAATTGGTTACCTATTAATTTAATTTTAGTATAAAAAAAAAGGATTGATATCCCATGTGTCATGTTTACGGGAAGCAAAAAGAGGATTATCATTGTGGTATCACAACAACTCTGGTCAGGTTATGAAATAGTGAAACTCAAAGTAAATATCTTTATCTTCAGAGAATATCGTGTCTGCACGCTGCTGTTAAAGTCCATCAGTTTGACACAGTCAGGCTGGTTATGGCTGTGAGTTTCAGTTGCTCTTCTGTCTGTTGATATATAAACAAACTGATGAATCTTTAACTGCAGGATAAGACCGTGCTGTGACTGACAAAACCTTCTTCCATGACTTGTAAAGACTCGGGGACAAGCTGCTGTCTTACAAAACAGAGAAGATAAAGAGAGAACATTTCCAAAAAATAAAGTTAAAACATCATTTTTTCATAGATAGAAGGACTCAACATTTGGGAGGTCAGATCATGATCTCGGTCAGGTGTGAAGACGGCACACCTTTAGTTAATATCTGAGACCAGCTGACCCAACGTTTTAAAAACAGACCTCTCCATGTGTGGAATTCAAAACTTCAAAGTTACACTGGTGCATGAATCCCTCACGCTGACCCCCACCTCCACTCTCTGTGGGTCCCAGGTGTCACATGTGCTCCGGGTGGCTCTGCAGGCAGGAGATCATCTCTTGGACCGGCCTCCCTCGAAACAGATCTGATAGACGGCTGTGAAGAGAGGAACCTGCACAGAGGAACGCACAGTCAGAGGACGCGGAGGAAGAAACATAAGAGGCAGGATGAAGCATGTCTGAGTAATCCTTATCCATCAAAGCCCCGCCCACTTTAAAATCTTGAAAAAT